ATTCTGGGACATGATCCAGGAACAGACAAGGGATGTGTCTGGATGGTGACTGTATCATTGTGTGTGTCAGGTTCCTATAAGGTGTCAGGATGTCTCTGTCTATTTCTCCATGGAGGAGTGGGAGTATCTAGAAGGACACCGGGATCTCTACAAGGACGTCATGATGGAGAACCGGCCGCCCCTCACATCACCGGGTAAGAGGAGACTTTCATTTCCTGAGTATTGAGGATCCCCCTAGATACACACATCCTCTGATATAAAGACATAGAAACAATGTATTCAGTCAGTGTGTGTGTTTCCTACAGATGGATCCAGGAACAGAAATACCCCAGAGAGATGTCCCCATCCTCTGTATTCCCGGGATTCCACACAGGAACATCAGGAGATCCCTCAGGCCCGTCCTCTGTATTCCCAGGATTCCACACAGGAACATCAGGAGATCCCTCAGACCCGTCCTCTGTATTCCCGGGATTCCACACAGGAACATCAGGAGATCCCTCAGGCCCGTCCTCTGTATTCCCGGGATTCCACACAGGAACATCAGCAGATCCCTCAGGAACATCAGGTACATGGAACTAACAAAAAGTAATGTTTGTTTTTAAATATGAATGCAGAACGTGTTGCAAATAACAATGTATCTTATCCAGGGTGACGGCCTAATTGTGGTTAAAGTTGAAGATAAAGATTCGTTCTTTGAGAATGATGAGTCGTGTAAGGAGGAGGAACGTTCTCCAGAGATCAGCACAGGTGAGTAATAAACACTAAATCCATAGAAGAGTCCCAGATTCTCCTTGTTCAGTGACTACAACAATCTCTTCTTCTCCCCCCTCCTCTGTCAGTAGACAGTAATGGGGGGACGGAATGTGTCTAGTGGGGGGAGTCAGGAGCCATCTGCCTCTATTAGACTCCGGCTCTCCTCCTCACATCATGTCATTGTGTGTTACCAGCCAAGAGACGTGACCAGTCTCCCCCACACACACTTGGGGGCAGATGCCAAAGCGGGTAGTCAGCCGGACCAGGTCAGGGAACACTGAGAGCAGGATGAACGGAAACAATGGGAGGAGTCAGGAAGCAGGAGATCAGTCAGCCGGAGCCCTTGGTGGATAAGTACACTCGCAAGGGGCGGAGACTGAATGGACAAGCTGAAGGTTAAACAGTGAGGTGGTGTCGCATCATCGCTCTGAGACAGGAAGTTGTCAGAGGTTTTACCGGTAGTTGCAGAATGATGATGTTTGCGGGTTTGGTCATAAGAGGGCGCCAAACATACCGCAACAAGCCGTGCTGGAGGAGGACGGGTGAGATACCCTGACATGTCCATCGCTCTTATTATAAAGCCCCGCCTTTATTTTGCTCAATGTCTTTATTTTTGTTGGTTCTCATTGCCCTTCCATATCTCACTTCCTTCAGATGGACAACGCATCGAGATGGAGAAGGACATCACATGGAGTTCACGAGGAGAAAAACCCAATACCTCAAATCTCCATCCAGTCCTTCTGTCATCTGGTCCCTCTACACCTGGGGGGAGTTCTCCCCATCCCCCACCTCCTGTCACCTATCATCCAGATCATGGAGTGTGTTATGTGTGTGGGAAAGGCTTTACCAGCAAAGATACCCTCACCATATACCACCGATCTTACTCAGGGCAGAAGCCATGTTCTATATGCAGGAAATGTTTTTTTGTACAATTGTTCTTGATTAATGAAGAAAGAGCCGATACCGGGGAGAAGCCATACTGGTGTCCAGAATGCGGGAAATGTTTCAGCCAGAAGTCAAATCTTACTTACCACTTCCGGATCCATACAGGCGAGAAGCCGTATTTCTGTTCCCAGTGCGGCAAATGCTTTACCACGAACACCCATCTCCTCCGACATCAGAAAACGCACACCGGGGTCAAGTCGCATTCATGCGAGGAGTGCGGGAAAAGCTTTACTGAGAGTTCCACTCTGATCATCCACAAGAGAAGCCACACGGGAGAGAAGCCGTTTCCGTGCTTGGAATGCGGGAAATGTTTTGCCGAGAGTTCGGCTCTTGATAAGCACAACAGGACTCACACCGGGGTGAAGCCGTATTCGTGTTCGGAATGTGGGAAATGTTTCGCCGGGCACTCGGCTCTGGTTTATCACAAGAGGACTCACAGCGGGGAGAAGCCGTATTCGTGTTTGGAGTGCGGGAAGCGCTTTACCGAGAGCTCAGCTCTTGGGAAACATATGAGGTCTCACACGGGGGAGAAGCCGTATTCGTGTTCGGAGTGTGGGAAATGCTTTACTACAAGTTCAGCGGTGGTCAATCACAAGAGGATTCACACCGGGGAGAAGCCGTATTCGTGTTTGGAATGCGGGAAATGTTTTACTGCACGATCATCTCTTGCTTATCATAAGAGTACTCACAAGGGGGAGAAGCCGTATTCTTGTTGAACATTACATGTATGTTATATTAAAAAAAGCATTTGAAATTACCTGGACTTGGTGGAGACGCACACAGCTTAATGGCACACACAAGGGTGGCTCCATAGCACCCTGCAAGGGAAAGGAGCCACACCCAGATTACTGGCACACACAAGGGTGGCTCCATAGCACCCTGCAAGGGAAAGGAGCCACAAATGGATTACTAGCACACACAAGGGTGGCTCCGTAGGACCCTGCAAGGGAAAGGAGCCACACCCAGATTACTGGCACACACAAGGGTGGCTCCATAGCACCCTGCAAGGGAAAGGAGCCACACCCAGATTACTGGCACACACAAGGGTGGCTCCATAGCACCCTGCAAGGGAAAGGATCAACACCCAGCTGAGCTGAAGGCATTTGCTTTGGCTCGACTGAGCCGAAGCGGGGCGAACGGCCTGCCTTTCGCTCCGCAAATGACAGCTGGGCGGAGCCAGCCGTGAACTCACGGCTGGCTCCGCCCAGTTGTAATGACAGATCAGCTCCCCCAAATGACCTGGGGACGATAATCTGCCATGAAACAATAACTGGGAAGAGCCACTTGTTATTCATTGGCCGGGATCTGCTAGAAGACTCTAGCAAGTGCCGGCCAATAGGAAACAGTTGGGCGGAGCTAGCTTTCACTGCTCGCATAGTTTTTTTTAAAATTTATTTAACTTTATTTACATTTTAAAAATCTTTTTTTTTTTTAAACTTTTTTTCATTGATTTTCTATTCTGCTCGGCACCAGGGAGGTACCGAGCAGAATAGCCGAGTTGAATGCCGCTCGGCGCCATTCGGATACTCACTGCCTACGTGAAAAGGGGCGAATGGCAGCGAGTGAGCTGCCGTAGCTTCGGCTCAGCCAATCCAGACGTTGGATCGGCGGAGTCAAAGTCCTTCTGCGCTTCGGCTCAACCGAACATGCTGAGAACGCACATGTGACCGAGGGCAGCCCATGTACGTCTGAAATCAGCCGGAGTCAATAGCCGAACGACGTTTGGCTCGGTTGCCTTCGGCAGCTTTGTGAATAACCCTCTAAAAGTCCGATTTCCCCCCCGCCCCAGTGATGTCACGGCGGTTGTAGTCCATTGATAACCTCCTCCAGCCCCGTAACTGAAGGTCCGTACCTCAGTAGGTTGGGGGAATAGTCTGCAGGAGCCCGGGCACGGCCCCCACGATCCACTGATTGCGGTTGGAATGATTTGGAGCCTTTCACCTGTACGCCATTGCGACACCAAGCGACTAGGCACTCCAGCTGTGACGAAACTACAACTCCCATCATGCTGCTGCCTCTGGGAGTCATGCCTGTGGTAGCCAGAGTCTTGCAGTGCCTCATGGGACTTGTAGTCAGACGAAAGCGGGAAGGCCGAGGTTGCCTATCCTTGGACTAGGCAATCTCCCAGAAGGCCAGACATTTACAGATGGCGGGAAATACAATGTAGCGTTCTCTGATCTCTCGCGCTCGTAGCGCCATCCATTGTATAGTCTCTACAACAGTATACGGACATCCCATCGCACACCAGACCGGAATCTGCACACACAAGGGTGGCTCCATAGCACCCTGCAAGGGAAAGGAGCCACACCCAGATTACTGGCACACACAAGGGTGGCTCCATAGCACCCTGCAAGGGAAAGGAGCCACAAATGGATTACTAGCACACACAAGGGTGGCTCCGTAGGACCCTGCAAGGGAAAGGAGCCACACCCAGATTACTGGCACACACAAGGGTGGCTCCATAGCACCCTGCAAGGGAAAGGAGCCACACCCAGATTACTGGCACACACAAGGGTGGCTCCATAGCACCCTGCAAGGGAAAGGATCAACACCCAGCTGAGCTGAAGGCATTTGCTTTGGCTCGACTGAGCCGAAGCGGGGCGAACGGCCTGCCTTTCGCTCCGCAAATGACAGCTGGGCGGAGCCAGCCGTGAACTCACGGCTGGCTCCGCCCAGTTGTAATGACAGATCAGCTCCCCCAAATGACCTGGGGACGATAATCTGCCATGAAACAATAACTGGGAAGAGCCACTTGTTATTCATTGGCCGGGATCTGCTAGAAGACTCTAGCAAGTGCCGGCCAATAGGAAACAGTTGGGCGGAGCTAGCTTTCACTGCTCGCATAGTTTTTTTTAAAATTTATTTAACTTTATTTACATTTTAAAAATCTTTTTTTTTTTTAAACTTTTTTTCATTGATTTTCTATTCTGCTCGGCACCAGGGAGGTACCGAGCAGAATAGCCGAGTTGAATGCCGCTCGGCGCCATTCGGATACTCACTGCCTACGTGAAAAGGGGCGAATGGCAGCGAGTGAGCTGCCGTAGCTTCGGCTCAGCCAATCCAGACGTTGGATCGGCGGAGTCAAAGTCCTTCTGCGCTTCGGCTCAACCGAACATGCTGAGAACGCACATGTGACCGAGGGCAGCCCATGTACGTCTGAAATCAGCCGGAGTCAATAGCCGAACGACGTTTGGCTCGGTTGCCTTCGGCAGCTTTGTGAATAACCCTCTAAAAGTCCGATTTCCCCCCCGCCCCAGTGATGTCACGGCGGTTGTAGTCCATTGATAACCTCCTCCAGCCCCGTAACTGAAGGTCCGTACCTCAGTAGGTTGGGGGAATAGTCTGCAGGAGCCCGGGCACGGCCCCCACGATCCACTGATTGCGGTTGGAATGATTTGGAGCCTTTCACCTGTACGCCATTGCGACACCAAGCGACTAGGCACTCCAGCTGTGACGAAACTACAACTCCCATCATGCTGCTGCCTCTGGGAGTCATGCCTGTGGTAGCCAGAGTCTTGCAGTGCCTCATGGGACTTGTAGTCAGACGAAAGCGGGAAGGCCGAGGTTGCCTATCCTTGGACTAGGCAATCTCCCAGAAGGCCAGACATTTACAGATGGCGGGAAATACAATGTAGCGTTCTCTGATCTCTCGCGCTCGTAGCGCCATCCATTGTATAGTCTCTACAACAGTATACGGACATCCCATCGCACACCAGACCGGAATCCCACGGTAGTATGTAGTAGGGTGCTGGGATGACGTGCGGCTGGTGCCACACAAGTTCAAACGTGGAGGGGATAGTCACCCGCACACACCCCAAAAGGTTCCATGCATCAAAACGTCCTTTTATTGACGCCAGATACACATGGCAACACAAGTATGAGCCACCTTGAGGTGCAGGCGACTATCTCTTCTACATCTACAATAGCTCCTGAGCCATTCATCCCAGGACCCAGTATGAAGCCAAGAGCCACCACTAGAGGGCGACCATCTCCCATGTGAGAGTAGGAAGTGTGCTCAGTTCCGGAAGGGTGGCGGCCATTTTGTCGTAGCCCGGGAGAGGCGGCGAGAGGAGTTTCTTATGTGTGAAAGAAATTTCCTGCAGCCGTGTGTGTGTGTGTGTGTGTGTGCTCAGCGAGCAGGAGGTAATATCGGCTTCTTATTCATTCTTATTTGCAATTTCTATAGAAAGGAGGGGAGGGGGGGATCTGTGAGTTGTTGGGTCACGTGTCCGGGATAAAGTAGAAGAGCTGAATTTCAGGCAAATATCAAATCTGGGTCAATGTAGAGGTGGGGTGCTGGACCCAATACTTATTGTTTCGCAGGTCAGCCTTCCATAAGAACCAATTGTCCCACTGGTTCTACTACATTCGGCAGCTCCATCATCATCATCAATATATAATGAATGTATTTTTTTTTACATGACAATAAGGTCATGTGATCAAACTACCATGAATTCAAGTAGGACTGAACTGAAAGTGAAGCTTAGCTATGTGTGAGTGTGCCTAGGCACTCCTGAGCCTAAAGAATAGTGATGGGGGCCCAGTTTGCAAAACCGTCACCCGACACCCCCCTCCTGTCCCAATCGGGGACGTCCAGGGCATATCCCGTCCCACAGCTACATGTAACAATGGGTCAGGGAATGCCCCTGGCCACATCTGATTAGATGGACCTGGGGGGAGGTGTGTTACTGACAGTTTTGGAAGTCCTTGGGCGAACTGCATTTGCATCAAGCCCATCTGCAGTGTGAGATCTGAGGCACTGCGGTCTTGGATCTCAGGGGATTTGGTGAGTGACAGTCTGGCACAGGTCCTAGTGTTACACGCACCTCTGTTTCCGCTTCCTGTAAGGCTTCGATTTTATTATATATAGGGAAGAAATCTGCTGATGTTTTACAGCTTGTCCAGACTTATATCTGTAATCCTAAGGGAATGATAGGCACTTGTCATCTCTGTATATATTTGTGTCCTTGTGCAGCCGAAACGAAGAAAACGCCTCAAGCTGATCACCTGAAGATGGAGAAAGAAGGTGGTCACATGACCGAGAGGATATTAAACCTCACCCTGGAGATCATCTACCTGCTGACTGGACAGGTGAGGAGGATTCTGGGAGATATTCTCGGAATGACTGCCATCCGCAGTCATTCCGAGCACCCCTCCCCGATCACTGGGTCATACCGGTAAGGAGTGCAACTAGCCTTTTCTTTTTTCGAGGATTCTGGGAGGTCACATGACATCACTCTTATCTCTATTAATAAAACACAGACCTGACCGGAGAGGTGAGGAGGATTCTGGGAGGTCACATGACATCACTCTTATCTCTATTAATAATACACAGACCTGACCGGAGAGGTGAGGAGGATTCTGGGAGGTCACATGACACCTCACATATTTTTCTCTGGGTGGTGACACTGTTGTTTTCCCTAAAACACAGGAATGTATTATAGTGAAGAAGCCTTCTGATGATCACATGACTCCCGTGACACAAAGATGGAGCAAGATGCAGAGCTCCATGACAGAACCTCCAACGTACTCCCTAATATCCGAAATAAACAATGACAAGAAGATTCTAGAAATCACCAGAAGGATCACTGAGCTGCTAAAGGGAGAGGTGAGCGGTGCCGGGAATTCTGGGACATTACGTTCTGAGGGTATTCATGTATCCAGTTTATGGTATAGCTTGTAGAATTTAGTCAACATTCAACTTGTATATAAAGTTTAGGACACTTCACCATTCATCCAAGATAGTCAGCTGAGGGAGCTACTGAGATGAGGGGCAAAACATCTTTAGCATAACGGAACAAGTCCCATTGAATGTGACCAACTTCTACAACCTATCTGGTAACAGACAAGGGATTTGTCTGGATGGTGACTGTATCATTGTGTGTGTCAGGTTCCTATAAGGTGTCAGGATGTCTCTGTCTATTTCTCCATGGAGGAGTGGGAGTATCTAGAAGGACACCGGGATCTCTACAAGGACGTCATGATGGAGAACCGGCCGCCCCTCACATCACCGGGTAAGAGGAGACTTTCATTTCTTGAGTATTGAGGATCCCCCTAGATACACACATCCTCTGATATAAAGACATAGAAACAATGTATTCAGTCAGTGTGTGTGTTTCCTACAGATGGATCCAGGAACAGAAATACCCCAGAGAGATGTCCCTGTCCTCTGTATTCCCGGGATTCCACACAGGAACATCAGGAGATCCCTCAGACCCGTCCTCTGTATTCCCGGGATTCCACACAGGAACATCAGAAGATCCCTCAGGAACATCAGGAGATCCCTCAGGAGATCCCTCAGGAGCATCAGGAGATCCCTCTGGAGCATCAGGAGATCCCTCAGGAGCATCAGGAGATCCCTCAGGAGGATCAGGTAAACAGAACTGAGCATCCTAATCGAAACAAATACTGTGTTTGATCCTAAATCATATTGTAGAAAATGTTACAAAGTACATCATGGTTCCCATCCAGGGTGACGGTCTGACCTTGATTAAAGTCGAAGATAATGAAGAGGTGATCATAAAGGGTGACGAGTCGTGTAAGGAGGAGGAAATTCCTCGAGAGATCAGCTCAGGTGAGGAATAAACACTAAACCCAGATCAGATTTGCTCTCTTTTTCTTAAATCACGATAACGGATAAACAAATGTGTTTCATAACTGTTCAGTGTCTGTGTGTAAAGTAGGAATGTCTACCGGCCCGCAGCTGATTGGGTGGGTGACATCATATCCCTTTCATGTTAAGAGTAGCTCAGGTTTGGACCAGGTCTGGTTGGAACCTCAGCTCATACCTACATCACAGGAAGTAAGCTGCTTGTAGGAAAATATCCCTCTCCGCTCTTCTACATACACTATATTGCCAAAAGTATTGGGACGCCGACCTTTACATGCACATGAACTCTAATGGCATCCCAGTCTTAGTCCGTAGGGTTCAGTATTGAGTTGGCTCCGCCCTTTGCCGCTATAACAGCTTCAACTCTTCTGGGAAGGCGTCCACAAGGTTTAGGAGTGTGTCTATGGGAATATTGGACCTTTGTGAGGTCAGGTACTGATGTTGGAGGAGAAGGCCGGGCTCGCAGTCTCCACTCTCATTCATCCCAAAGGTGTTCTATGGGGTTGAGGTCAGGACTCTGTGCAGGCCAGTCAAGTTCCTCCACCCCAAACTCCCCCATCCATGTCTTTATGGACCTTGCTTTGTGCACTGGTGCGCAGTCATGTTGGAACAGGAAGGGGCCGTCCCCAAACTCTTCCCACAAAGTTGGGAGCATGAAATTGTCCAAAATGTCTTGCTGTGCTGATGCCTTAAGAGTTCCCTTCACTGGAACTAAGGAGCCAAGCCCAACCCCTGAAACCCCCCTCACCCCCCATAATCCTCCCTCCCCCAAACTTTACACTTGGCACAATGCAGTCAGGCAAGTACCGTTCTCCTGGCAACCGCCAAACCCAGACACGCCCATCGGATTGCCAGACAGAGAAGCGTGATTGATCACTCCAGAGAACACGTCACCACTTCTCTAGAGTCCAGTGGCGGCGTGCTTTACACCACGGCATCCCACGCTTTGCATTGCACTTGGTGATGTAAGGCTTGGATGCAGCTGCTCGGCCATGGAACCTTAACCTCCCTGGCGGTATTCCTGAGTGTGGCTCGGTGTTAAATTTCAGCACCAACAGCCGTAACCCAGAGCCACACTCGGGATTATACTGAAATTTCAACTTACTTTGTCCCTACGAGCCCCGCTGTGTCCTCTCGCTGTCTCTTCCGACCCAATGCCGGCATCCGGCGTCGCAGGGGGGGCGGATCCGGCAGGAAATTCAAAAGTCAAAACATCAGATACACACACAATACATTGTAATACATTGTAACCTGTATTATTACATTACTGTATCAAACCAATTTCACCTCAGCTTTGTCCCTAGAGTTTTGTCCGGTGCCCTGCCTGCACTTTGACCGTTCTTTCCGCCTGGATAACTCGGGAGCGTCCATGGCATCCAAAAAGCGTCCGCTGAGGTCCAAAGCGGTGTTTGAGCAGCTTGAAAACAGCGATAGCGATTTGGAATCACTTGCGGAATTGAGCGATAGCGATTCGTGGGGAAATTCGTCGTCGGACGCTGAAAGCGACGACAGCGACGATTCTGCGACCAAGTCCAGCGATGTGCGAACTTGGTGCTCCATCGACTGTGGTACGGATCACGCAGCGCCCCCGAGATTCCCATTTACCGGAGCATCTGGTATGAAAGTAGACGTTGAACGGGACAACCCCTTGGCATACCTACAACTATTTCTGACCGATGAGGTGATTGAAGAAATAGTTACCGAGACAAACCGGTACACAGAGCAACGGTTAGCTACCCCGCATGGGAAGTTTTCCAGAAGCAGAAAGTGGGAACCGGTGACCAAAGTTGACATCTGGAAATTTCTGGGCCTGATAATACTTCAGGGAGTGGTGGGGAAACCCCTGCAGAAGTGGTATTGGACAACCAATAAACTACTGGCCACTCCATTCTTCGGCACGGTCATGTCGGAGTACAGGTTTACCCTCATCATGAAGTTTTTACACTTCGTAAACAACGAAGAATTCGATGAAACCGCTCATCCCGCCCCAAAACTGAAGAAAATCTGGAAGGTATCCCAAATGATTCTGAAGAATTTCCAACAGAGCTATGTGCCAGAAAGAGACATCACCGTAGACGAAAGTCTAATGGCCTACAAGGGAAGGCTCAGCTGGGTTCAATACAAGCAATCAAAGAGAGCGCGATTTGACGTCAAATACTACACGCTATGCGAATCGTCAACCGGCTACATCTGGAATTCCGTCATATACACGGGAAAAGGAACCAAATTCAATCCAAAATACAGCAACTATGGAATGGCAACATCTTCCGTCCTCTCTCTCATTGAGCCATTGCTGAATCAGGGCTATTGCGTAACAACCGACAACTTCCATACGTCTCCAGAACTTTATGACTTTCTTCTGCAACACAAAACAGATGCCTATGGAAGCGTTAGGGCTAACCGGCGCGACTTGCCGCCAACGTTTGGCAATAAGAAGCTGAAGACTGGAGAAACGGTTGCCTGGCAGAAAGGCAAAATGATGGCACTGCGATGGCGCGACAAGAAAGACGTGTGCCTAATGAGTACTGTACATAACGCCTCCACTGCTATGGTACGCACGAAAGGTGGGAGAGACGTTGTGAAGCCACAAGTAGTGATAGACTACAATAACACCGTGGGAGGTGTCGACAGAGCCGACCAAGCCATGACATTCTACCCGGCGATGAGGAAACAGCAAAAGAAGTCCTACAAGAAGATCTTCAGGCATCTCCTTGAGCAGTGCTTGTGGAACGCCTACGTCCTGCTCAAAAAGCAAAGCGACAAGCCTGTGACGCATTCGGACTTCATCTGGAAAGTTGCCGAACGAATCTTCTTGAGCCACCAAACGCCATCAGTGGCTGTGAATAGATCTGGACGCCGCGCCGTTGGCGTTGTCAACCCGGAACGCCTGACCGGCCGTCACTTCGTGGACTACATCCCGCCAACCGCGAAAAAGGCAGCACCTACGAGGATGTGCGTGGTTTGTTGCTCGAAGCGCGATGACAGCGGGAAAAAAATCCGAAAGGAAACCAGGTACCATTGTCCTGATTGTGACGTCGGACTCTGTGCTGTCCCGTGTTTCAAAACTTATCACACCCGGGATGTTTACTAAAGCAATATGCAGTGTCTGGTATCACAGTGACCAGGAATATCGCACCTTTGTTTGTACAGATGTCATTGTTTTTGGTTCGATTACATTATTAAATTACATGTTTTATTATTATTATTTTGTAGAATTATTTGTAATTCATTTATTATATTAAAATTTATGATTTCGTGTTTCAAACTTTATCCTACCCGGGATGTCTACTAGACTCTTGTCCGGACAGATTTAGGTGAGTTATTCCTAATTACAGGCCTACAACAACACATTTTGGCATGCTAACATACTGACATAATCAGACCGCCAGGGAGGTGCCATGGAGGGGATTGGAACACCTGAATCACATGATTTGGAGGGGGAGGGGCCCAATACCTTTGGCAATAAAGTGTATATTCAGATGTGAGAAGTCCTAAAAACACGTAGAACATGTAATCCTCATGAATATTATTAAAGACTCATTTCAGCCTAATGCTACTTTATCATTTCCTATTCCCCATTTTTTTTTATTACCTCCAGATGGGCAACACGTCAGGAGGGACATGGGAGAAGTTCCCTTAAAGCATATCCCATCCAGTTCTTTGGAAAATAACCTCATTCCCCCAAATCTTCATCTAACACTTCCCAGTGCCGATCTGCCATCTGATTCCGCTACACTTGGGTGGAGTTTTCCCGACCCCTGGCCTCCTGCCACCCATCATATATATCCTACAATAGCGGATGAAAAGCTCCCGTGTTACATTTGCGGGATTTTTTTTTCCAGGAATGAAACTCTCACCGTACACCACCGATCCTACACAGAGGGGAAGCCATGTTCTGTGTGCGGGAAATGTTTTCTTCAGAAACTGTGCTCAATTAATGAAGATATAACTTATTTTAGAGATAAGCCGTATTCGTGTTCTGAATGCGACAAAAGCTTCAGCCAAAAGTCAAGTCTTAGATCCCACTTACAGATTCACATTGACGTGAAGCCGTATTCCTGTTCCCATTGCGGTAAGATTTTTAAAAGCAACGCCACTCTTCTCCAACATCTGAAAATCCACAGCACGGAGAAGCCGTATTCGTGTACGGAATGCGGAAAATGTTTTACCCGGAGCTCAAGCCTTTTTTATCACACGAGAACGCACACGGGGGAGAGGCCGTATTCGTGTTCGGAATGTGGCCGATGTTTTGCTAGGAGGACCGCCCTTGTTAAGCACCAGAGAACTCACACCGGGGAGAAGCCGTACCCATGTTCGGAATGCGGGAAATGTTTCACCAGGAGTACAGGTCTTATTAATCACAAGAAGCTCCACAAAGGGGAGAAGCCGTATTCATGTTCCGAATGCGGGAGATGTTTTGTTGACTTTAAAGGACTTGCTACTCACAAGCGGATTCACGCGGGGGTGAAGCCCTATTCATGTTCGGAATGTGGAAAAAGTTTTGCCGTACAGAAGAGTCTTTCTTATCACATGAAAACTCACACGGTGAAGGGTCAGAGTTCATATTCCGAGTCTGGGAAATGCTTAACTGAGAGTTCCATTCTTGATAATCACATGAAAACTCACACCGGGGAGGAGCCCTTTTCATGTTCCTAATACGGGAAATGTTTTACAGGGAACTCAGCTCTTGTTTCTCACAACTCACACAGGGCGGGGCCCTCCTCATGTCTGGAATCTAATAATATCTGTAAAAAATAAGTCAAGGCAACTGGACTTGCTGTATTTTTCTTGAAGACATTTCACTGGTCATCCAACCAGCTTTCTCAATTCAGAAAGCTGGTCGGGTGACCGTTGAGAAAGCTGGGCCACTCAGAATCTGGCAAATTAGGTGGCTGCTCAGGGGGCCTCTCGGCTGCCTAATTTGCCTGAGAGAGCTACTGGGTGGAGGAGAAGGCAGTGTCGGGGGCCCAGTGAGATGTGGCCCAGCGAGCGGAGGTGAAGGAGAAGCTGCGGGGGCGGCTCAGGGCTGCCCATACCCCACGATCTGATGGTGGGATGTCCCAGGCTGGGGAGCTGCAGGTAAGCGGAGCAGCACATGTGAGCAGGGAAAGGGACTCTGCACTGCCCACCATAGATCCTGCACTGCCCACCTCAGAGTTTCAGGTGGGCTGTGTAGGATCTATGGTGGGCTGTATGGGGTCTCAGCTTGGCTGTGCGGGGTCTATGGTGGGCTGTGCAGGGTCTGTAGTGGGCTTTACAGGGTTGTTCAGGATCTATGGTGGGCTCTGCGGGGTCTCAGATGGGCTGTAAGGGTCTATAGTGAGCTCAGAGTTTCATGTGGGCTGTGCAGGATCTATGGTGGGCTGTATGGGGTCTCAGTTTGGCTGTGCAGGATCTATGGTGGGCTGTGCGGGATCTATGGTGGGCTGTGCGAGGTCTGTAATGGGCTTTACAGGGTCTCAGGTGGGCTGTACAGGATCTATGGTGGGCTGTATGGGGTCTCAGGTTGGCTGTGCGGGATCTATGGCGGGCTGTGTAGGTTCTCAGGTGGGCTGTGCGGGATCTATGGTGGGCTGTGCGGGGTCTGTAGTGGGCTTTACAGGGTCTCAAGTGGGCTGTACAGGATCTATGGTGGGCTGTGGTGGGGTCTGCATGGTCTCAGGTAGGCTGTTCATGGTCTATGGTGGGCTCTGCGGGGTCTCAGATGGGCTGTGAGGGTCTATAGTGGGCTCTGCTTGGTCTCAGGCTGAGATTCAAGTGATTGCTGTATTAATACACGTGTATCTGGAAGGGCAATCTGCACCATGAAGGCTAAAGACCACTTCACTCAACTCTGTGAAAAGGAGATTGATGGAGGTGGATGAAGAAAATGCCCAAGTCACCAACTAAACTTTGGAATACAAAAAAAAAAAGGTTTCTGAGCTGTAAATCTGCCAAGACGAGTCTGACAACCACAAGCGGGTTACCATGCCAGCAGACTACTGAGACAGACCACCAAGAGACCGATGACAACTCTAGGGGGGGGAGACTTTGCATACAACAACCTTTCCCGGGTTGTCTCACCGCCTCAGATTTATGAGAGAGTTTCAATAGGAAATTAATTGTTAAAGCCCAATTGTACTTTTAAAAAAAGATTTGACTAATAAACTCAGGCTGCCATAATACGAAATCGGAGGCGCCTGGCGGGTGATGTGTTGCTTCAAGGACGCTATTTGGTGCGCAAGGAAGCGACTCACCCTCCGGAGGGAGAGAATGTCCACTGAGGACTGCCGCAGACTGATCATCAGTTTGCTCAGAGACTATCACCTCATGGACTTTAAGGAGGAAGAGGACGTCTGAGAAGATTTCCCCTCCCCCCCCCCCCCTCTCTCCTTTTTGTGTCTCTTGTCCCTCAATAAAGCTTCGGGCCTGTGAACTCTTTCCCCGTCCCTTAACGTGGCCATACACTCTACAACCATCGCAAGACCTTAGTCTTGCGATGGTTGTACAGGGATTAAAAAAACGTATGATCTTTATTGAAGTTGATTGAATTTAAGGTAATTGATGTGGATCCTACGGACCACAGACCCAGTACGGGGTAATGCGGTGCCATGAATGACGTGGAGGGCTCAGGACTCTTGTCTTGCGCTACACGTCAGGCATCTCGCCGCAGTGCGAATGTAATTTATTGTGTGATTGAGCTGTATTGCATTGTGGTGTTTATGCGCTGCGTCGCAGTACGAGGTAGAATGTACCCCGATTGTATAGCTTGTTTTTGTATATTTTATTACATTAATAAAGTATATTTTTCAATCAAAAAAAATAATCTAAAGTGCCAGTGCACCACGCGGACAGGCCTTCCCAAACCCCGGTTTTCTCCAGATTGGGACGTCCCATAAGATTATATTCCATGGCTGGGTTTGGAGATTATAGTTACACCTCAAATGCATTATGGGAGCTCATCCACATTTCTAATTTGCAAATAATTTCAACGCATTCATCACAGCAATTTGCATATTCATTGACTCACCCCAAACCCATTTTCCCTGGTGATGGCCCATAAGATTGTAGAGGAGGAATGAGGTTGGACTTAGGGAGACTATATTTTTGATTAACACATAGACATTATTTTATGTCTACAATATATAATGTCTGTTTTATATATTTTATTATATAAAATATATTTTAAAAAACCAAGATACTTTGGGGGTAGATTCCACCCTATACTGCGACGCAGCACAAGAGCACTACATAGCAATACAGCACATTTACACAAATAAATTACAGCCACACAGCAGCAGAAGATAAGGGTCAGAGGCCCTCCACGTCATTCATGATACCCCTTTTACCCCGGTCATGGGCCCTCCACGTCTTTCATGACACCCCTTTTACCCCGTACTGAATAAGTGGTCCACGTCAAAATACCATGACGTGCAGCGCCAGACATTTTGGGTTACGCACTTCCTAAATGGCACTGCAACAAATTACAACTTATATACACGAAACCTTCAAAAAGATACAGGTGTGATGTAGGATAGGGGAGAGGGAAGAGATCACAGGCCCAAAGCTTTATTGAAGGACAATGGGGTGGAATCTTCTCAGACGTCCGCTTCCTCCTTAAAGCCATAAGGTGATAGTCTGTGACATCCATGGAGGTCTGCAGCCAGTCCCTATAGTGGAGGATTCCAGTGGAGTGAAGCAGGGTGGCAGATGTTGGGGATCTCCCAATGGCAGCCTGGGCTGGAGCCAGGGTCTCTGGGGATATGGAAAGTTGCTTTTGGGGGGTCCTTGGCTCACTGGTTCTTGGCATTGGGGGTCTGATTCCAAGCATTTGGCCTTAAAAAGGCCTTTTGTGGATTGCCGTCTTGTTTATGTGGGGGGGTTAAGCCGCTAACTCAATAGCAGCATGTAGGTGAAGCTGAATTTAATTGAGGACCCTGCAAGGCCGAGCAGATGGTACCCCACAAAGGACCAAATGGCTTGGATAGATACAAGTGATTCCTATTAATCCTAGCTGGGTAGCAGAGACACCCCCTGTCGCCTAAGGGCTACAGTCCTTGACCTTAGCCAATTAGGCTGAGAAACAATTTAAGAAGACTATATACCTGATGGTCGAACCGGTTTACCTGGACTGCTCAGGGGCTGGGAAGACAGGGAGTGCCCCTAACCTAGTACTCGGTGGTCGGCTTTGGCTGACCCAAAGGAAAAGGCTTGCCTGGCTTCAGCTAGGTGGACATGAATGTCATGCCCTTGTCAGGTCAGTGAAAGAGCACTATCTCTTGGGGAGATGGACCATGAGACACACCCTCGTGCACTATTATCTCTTGGTGAGATGGACCATGAGACACACCCTCGTGCACTATTATCTCTTGGTGAGATGGACCATGAGACACACCCTCGTGCACTATTATCTCTTGGGGAGATGGACCATGAGACACACCCTCGTGCACTATTATCTCTTGGGGTGTTGGACCATGAGACACACCCTCGTGCACTATTATCTCTTGGGGAGATGGACCATGAGACACACCTTCGTGCACTATTACCTCTTGGGGAGATGGACCATGAGACACACCCTCGTGCATTATTATCTCTTGGGGAGATGGACCATGAGACACATCCTCGTGCACTATGGTGATTAGGTTTCTGCGCACCCACCACAGACCACAAAATGTGAAGCTTCTCATTGGTTTTGCATATCATGCGTAGCATCCTGTGCCTGTCTCCCCTCGCTCTCTCTGGGCTCTCCTCATTCATCCTTCTGGCTGTCTCTCCTCTCTTTCTTCTGGCTGTCTCTCCTCTTTCTTCTGGCTGTCTCTCATCGCTCTCTCTGGGCTCTCCTCAGTCATCCTCCTGGCTCTCTTCTGGCTGTCTCTCCTCTCTTTCTTCTGGCTGTCTCTCTCCTCTTTCTTCTGGCTGTCTCTCATCGCTCTCTCTGGGCTCTCCTCAGTTATCCTCCTGGCTCTCTTCTGGCTGTCTCTCCTCTCTCTTTCTCATGGTCCTCATATTCTCCACAAGGTGGCAATCTCAGTTATTGTCAGTGGAGTTCACACAGGAAGTCCCTGTCTTGTCACTCCGAAGTCACTGGTGTGAAAGGCACTTTGACACCTTTGCTTTTGTTGCACATCACCTCTTGGGCTCAGGCCTTTTGACTGAGACCAGGGGTAATTTTTTTTACCGGGCCGCAAGGCCTAGCCTTTGTCTGGTACACCGGCACTCTGAATGATTTTTTCTCACTGTATGTGCACCTTTCGCTTTTTTATGTGTTGTTCACTCCACAGGATGGGGCTCTTCGGGCCTACCCTGAAGTCTAGGGGGAGCAAGTGTGGTACTCAGGTTCCTGCCTCCCCTGAATCGGGGGTCTCGCTTTGGGGGAGCCCCCAACCTTGTACTTGGTGGTCGGCTTCGGCTGACAAGGAATTGGTCCGTCTGGTTTCGGCCAGGTGGACACGAGTGCTCTTCCCCTGTTAGAAGCCTGGGGGTTGGGGGGGTCAGGGATGGGCCCTGTCTCTTCGGGAGACAGACCCTTTAGATAGCACCCCTTTTTTGGTCACTTTTTGGGTGTTTCGAAGCACGCTCCACGGGATTCAAAAAAAGAAAGTTGCTTGAAGTGTTCTTCGCTTGTCTTCGTGGTGTAGGTTCTGCAAGGATGCTAGATCAAGCGTAGGACCCTCCGGGTGCATTATGCTACAATCCCTTGGAACTCATTGACATAAAAAAAAAGGCCTGGACTGATCTCCTGCAGCATCTGCGACCGCTTCCCCTCTACAGGCACTCCACCACGTCATTTCCTTGGGCGCGATTCCACGTGGTGATAATTGTGGATCGCACCTGTGCAATGGGCATCCCGTGTAGTTTCCATTGGGATTGTGTGACAGGGTGATCACTCAGAAGACAGAGACAAAGCATTGCCACCCAATAACAGAACGTGCCGCCCCAAGGGGCCTTCGGGTCAGGACCACATAATGTTATTTTAATTAATAACTTTAAAAACGACAACACGTTGATCATACACAATATTTTACATTTCCTTTACTACTAGTCCTTCCTGTAGCTCTAGTCTAACTCTTCTTCTTTTGGGTCTAACCTATATCTAC